TGTGGGAACTTAAGTAGACGGCGGTCTGATGTGGCGTCATCTCAGAGTCCCATCAAGGCAGGGGGAAGGAAAAGGGCCCACTCCTCCCCTGTCCCATGAGGCCTGGGGTCTGCCGGCACTGCCACTCATACCTGGAGTTTGTAGCTAACTTCTAGAACATGGCAGCCTCCGGGGCTCCTAGAGGCAGCAGGAGGGATGGCACCTGCCCCTGTCTGGAGCAGCCCAGTGGAAACAGCCTATTGCAAAGTTCAGAACCATCTCTGCAGCAAGTTTCTTGGGTCTGAGGTTTGTTTATGTGTCTCTAGATCATGCCCCTGTGGGAACTTAATTAGATGGTGGCTGGATCCAAACTCCAACACTTTAGAAATTGATGAGAAAAATTATTCATAGTTATGCATGTACAATAAATGTGAAAAAGAACTGTTGTGGGCAAACAGCATATAGGTTTACCATAATTAAAAGTCAGAACCAAACAAGCATCTAGTAATAGCTTAATCAGAATTACACAAAAGGAAAGATCCACAGCAGCTCTAGATCTAACTAAAATATTAAATATGCTCTAAAACTCATAGAACGGGTTAAATAAGTTTAGGCAATTAATTAAAAATAGGTGCTCATGTTCAGTGAAGTGCCCAGCAGCTAAAGATAGTTTTTTTTTTTTGCGACCAACAGGCCAAAAGAAGAAATATTAACTTTAATATCAAAGTCATTCATATCAGTGAAAAATCATGCCCCACCCCCACTTAAAATCCCTGTTGCCAGCAGGCCCCGCTGCTGGGGGGGGGGGGGGTGGTTGGGTAGCACCGACTCGGGGCCCGCGGGGGCTGCCGCAGACTTCCCCAGCAGAAGAGAAACTGCAGGGAGGGCCACAAAGGGGAAGAAGCTGCGTCGCTCACGTCGCCTGGTGGCGGCTCTGCCCCCCCCACCACCCCAGCTAGGCGCTCAGAGGAGGCTCTGGGGGACAGGAGGGAACAGAGAAGGAGCAGCGGCCACGGGGTGGGTCAGTGGGCAGGGCTGCATTGCAGGAAGTGGTGGTGGGGGGGCAAAGAGCTTCCTGCTCCCGTGGGCTCGGTCCAGCCCAGTGCCGGGCAGTTCTCCTTATTGTCGGGGTCATCGGGGCGGCCGGTGGCGGCGTCTTCTTGAAGTAGCAAGGCCGGCACACAGAGTGGTACTTGTCTGCTCCCCCGATGACCTCCACCTCCTCCTCCGCACCCAGCCGCTCGGTGTAGGCCGCCTCGCGGAAGCACTGCATGCATACGGCCGTCAGGGGCACAAGCTCTCGGCCAGGGGCACCAGGTTCAGAATGTTCCCGAAAGCCTTCCTCTGGAAGGTGCCGTCCAGGGCGGCCACGATCACCGTCTTCCCGGCGTTGGCCATGGTCTCGCTGAAGTCCACGACGTCGGGGAAAAACTGGCCCTCATCGATGCCTATGACGGCCACTCTCATGGCATCCTGGGTCACATCTCGGAGCTGGCAGGCGGGCAGTGCCTCCATGGTGTTCCGGTCGTGGGTGGAGAAGTGGGTGCTGTCCTTGGCGTACTTGATCACCAAGCACTTGTACTGGGCGATCTGGAAACGGCGGACGCGTCTCATCAGTTCGGTGCTTTTCCCTGAGAACATGGGTCCGAGGATCACCTGGATTTGGCCCCGGGTCTTGCTCGGGGAGCCGGGAAGCAGGTGGGCAGGTTGACGCAGCTCATGGTGCCTGGGGAAGCCGGCGGGACGCGGACCCTCTGCAGTTGCAGACACGCGAGCGCCAGATACAATTTTGTTGTATTGTAAGCTTCTCATATAAAACTAATTGGGTGCTTATTTCATAAAAATTAATCTTTTGGGGGGGGGGTTTGGTGATGCTGAACTTCATAGACGCCTCATACATTCTCTGCCACTTGAGTTATTTCCTTGGCCCCCAAATTAATAAAGTTCTTAATTAAAAGTAGAATAAACTGGGTTCTCAACTTCGTTGATAAAAGTATGGAAAGTAACTTTAAGCATATAGAGAAACAGCGTGATGAAGGCTAGCCCTAAAGTAGCATTGTTTACTGGGCTGGGGTTTTCTTGTCAGCATCACTGAGTGGAAGGAGGTCTGGGAGCCCCTGGTGGAGTTTGCTGCTTTGATTTTGCTGGACTTCTGGTTGGAGGGTGGAGTCGGGGGAAGGGGTGTTTTCCCAAGTGGTACTCAGGACCCTTCCCAGGGATCAATGGCCAACCAGACGGGCCTGCATTCACTTCGATGGCCTGTGATGCTGGTGCTTGGGGGCCATGTGGTGCCAGGGATCGAATGGGACTCGGCCATATGCAAGTGTGTGCTTGACCACTAAAGGATCTCTCTGGCACAGTGATTTTAATGGACTTTTTCCAGTGCAGTGGACTCATTTGTGGGATATTAAAAACAAACAAACCAACAGTATGAGACTAATGCCCAAATGCAGTAGAAACAAGAGCCAGGAGTACTGGCTCATAGTTGGAAGCCTGCCACCGTGGTGGTCGTGGGCAGGCAGCTAGGATAGAGAAGGAACTACTGTGGCAAAGATAGTTGGAAATGATCACTTTAGACAAGAACTGTGTGCTGAAAGTAGGTAAAGTAGGTAAAAGGATGAACACGATAAGCTGCGAGTATCTGCATTACAAACCTTATTGCCCCGGGGTGGGGGGAAAGAAACAGACAGAAAGAAACAGAGACAGAGGAGGAGCAGGAGAAGTGCCTGTCATAGAGTCAGCAGGGGGAAGGGTGGGTGGGAAACTGGGGACTTTTGTGGTGAGAAATGTACACTGCTGAAGGGACAGGTGTTAGAACATTGTATGACTTAACCCCCATCTTGAACAACTTTGTAATTGTGTATCTCAGTTTTGCATGCAGTCAACCTGGGTTTGATTGCCAGCATCCCATATGGTCTCCTGAGCACCGCCAAGAGTGATTCCTGTGTGCAGAGCCAGGAATAACCCCTGAGCATCGCCAGGTGTGACCAAAAAAAAAAAAAATTATTCACTTAAAAGAAAATGAGTAAAAGGTCTGTCTTTTTGGTAGACTTAAGTGATGTTATTTCCTTATGATTTCTCAGATACGAGAGAGTCATTTTAATCTGACTGTTCTTAGAGTCATCTCCTATGCCAGCAACTGTTCGATGAGCACCTCCTGTGTACTGACTCCTCCCTCTCCCCACCCCCTTTTTGTTTTGACTTTTGGGCACACCCAGCAATTCTCAGGGCTTACTTTTGGCTCTGTCAAGAATTAGTTCTGGCAGTGCTCAGGGAACCATATGTGGTGCTAGAAATTGAACCTGGTCAGCCACATGCAAGGCAGGCACCATCCCTGTCTCTTACTGAGCCCTTTCATACTGGAAATATAATCACCAGTGAGATGTATCTCCTATTACTTTGTACCTGTCTATTTTCCATCTCTCCCTGTTTTTCCTTTTCCTCTTCCTTGCAAGAAAACTGCTAGAAGACTAAATCTTTCAATAACTGTATTTGGCAAGGATTTGGTTATTTAGTCAGATGTCAGACTTTAATAGAAGAGGGTAAGTATATACCTGTGACTTGGACCCTAAGCATACATACACGCATAACTCAGAAAAAGGAGCTGCAGGCCAATGAAGAGAAAGGAAGTATATCTCGGCCATCCTTGTGGCAATCTTGGGGAAGCATCTGTAGTTCACATGCACTTTGACATTTAATTTCTGTGAGTATTCTTTGCTGCTCTCCAGAAAGAGGGACATGGGTGATTAAGTTAACTGGATATTCAAGCTAAAGCTTTCAGGGGATAGGAAACAGTGGAGTAGAACTGGAGAATGAACACAAGTGCGGGAAGGGGAGTGGCCATTGGTTAGGGCCGGAGATTTGGTGGAGTAAGTCGTGTTACAGCCTGTCTTAAGGATATTGAGCTTTGTTGGGGAAGCAAAGGGAAATCTTTATTGTTACTTCTTTGGGTTCCAGGGATCAACAGTATCTGGATTTCTCTTCCTTCAGTATCTGGAGAGCTTTGTTGATTCTCATGAGAATTGGAGTGCAAAATTAGTATTAGTTCTCTGAGAAATAATCATAATAGCTTCTAGCATTTGAAGTTGCATGCGATCATTTTGGAGAAGAAAAAAGTCATTTCTCTGAGAGAAGATGACAAGGTGGGGTAAGCTAGTGGCTGATTTTCTTTTTTTGAGAGTGTGGAGATCGAACCACACCTGACGATGCCATGGCTTACTCCTGGCTCTATGTTCAGAACACTCCTGGAAGACTTGGGAGGCCATATAGGGTATTGGGGATCAAACATGGGTCAGCCACGTATGTGGCAAGTACCCACATACAAGGCTGACCTATCATTCCTGCTCCTCGTGACTAATTTCCATTAACTAGGGGGAAGGTCTTAGGAAAATTACATTGTCTTGTTTTATTTTTTAGTTTTTCACCTGAAAAATGGTGAAAAATGATAGTAGTGGCCTCATTAAAAGTCTTAAATATGTTAGTTTTGTAAACTAGTTGGAACAGGTTTCAGTGACAGTGTTTGGACACTGTGAATATGTGTGGGACCATTACCATGACAGATGCCACAGAATGAGTGAAGTTGCAGGGAACTGGGAGAGTCTTCCTGGGGGCAGGGGGGGTGGGCAGTGATTGAGGAGACACACTGGTGGCTGTGTTGTCCTAGCACTGTGACTTTAGACTGTTGCTAACATGCAGAATAGGCCAGTCCTGGTGTTTCATCCTCCTAGGGCGAGTGTGCAGCCGTGGCAGTGGCCATGGCAAGCAGTGCCACAAGGAGCTTGTGTGCACCCATCAGGTGAGGGTGCTGGTAGGCACTAGCCTCAGGTGCCTGGCCACTGCCTTTCGTCTCCTCTGAGGCGTGTTGGACTAGTTCCTGTTCATGCAATAGCCCCAGACAAAGAGGAGCAAGCAGCGTGGATTTCACTGCCGACATTTGCTTGTTCCCTTGGTGATGATGTCCGAAATTCCAGGTCGGGATGCTGTCAGCCGTGATTAATCTCTCTCTTCCATTTCTCTTTTAGATACCAGTTTTTCTTACAGGTGAAGCAGGATGTTCTCCAGGGCCGGCTGCCATGCCCTGCCAACACGGCTGCTCAGTTGGGTGCATACGCCATGCAATGTAGGTACCATGGGAGCTACTTGCTTCAGAAATGTCTAGGGGGGAATATTTGTATTTTCCAGTTTTAGCTCATTCATGTGTAAAACACCACATGAGTTTTTTTTTTAAAAAATCACTGTGAGATACTGTTACAGACTTACAAACTTTCATGATTATGTTTCAGTCATACAATGATCAAGCACCCATCCCTCCACCAGTGCCCATTCTCTACCACCAATGTTCCCAGTATCCCTCCCACACCCCCCCACCCTTCCCCCTGCCTCTGTGGCAGGCACATTCCCTCTTACTCTCTCTCCTTTTGAGTGCTATGATTTGCAATACAGGTACTAAGAGGCCATCACCCACATGATTTTTTGCTGAAAATCCTGAATATAACCAAATTCGTATGTCAGTGCCCTTTTGAAGATAAAAGAAACTTGTAATGCATACTTTGTAGGTTCTGTGGAGTTTTACCTACATAAATAGCACCGACTCTCAATTAAGTAGAGGGCCTGCAAACCTCTTTTATTGAGCATTCTATGTGAGTTCATTGATCGATTGATCCTGAAGCTGTCACATATTGGAGATCAACATGCTTCCAGGCAGCTGTTCCAGAAGCCCATGTGGTTATGTGAAAGTCCATGTGGTGCCTGCACTTGGCACTCAGTGTGCCATGTGGAAGAGCTCCACGGCACATTGCCATGTTGCAGACAGAGCCTGAGGCTGCCTGCACATCCTGTTATTGATTGAATTCTTTTTTTTTATTAGTGAAACACCATGAGGTACAGTTATAGGCTTACAAATTTTGTGCTTGGGTTTCAGTTATACAATGATCAAGTGCCCATCCCTCCACCAGTGCCCGTTATCCATCACCACGGGTCCCAGCATCTCCCCCCACCCCCCATCCCCCTGATTGAATTCTTTCTAAGAACAAAAGAAGGTATGGGGAAATGACACGTCACAGCCTATCCTTCACAGGCCAGAAATCGTCTTGAAAAAACATCCTAGGAAAAATATTATGTAGAAAAACTGAGTTGAATTCGGATGGTGGATTAATAAAGGGAGGAGAAAGTTTTTATGAGTAATAGTGTGGACTTTCTGATATTATCTTGCTTCTTTGTGTCAACTATAATGGAGTTAGGTGCAACATTGTATTATATGTTTCCATGGCCATTATTTTGGGCAAATACCTTTTGAATCTCAGGCTATGCCTCTTGGTACTATTGCCTGATAGGTTCTATCAAAATCAAACATGTGTTTCACCTTTATTCTCTTTAGTATATGTACTCTAAATTCTGTTTATAGCATTTTGTTTTATAGTAACTGATAAGAGTAGTTGAAATAAGAACTATGAAAATTATAACTTTTCAAGAAAGCAAAAACAGAACACTTGTACTTTTTTAAGGCAAGATTTTTGTTTTTACCATGCATATATGATTATCTGAGTTATTTTATTTTATTGAATCACCATGAGGTACAAAGTCACGAAGTTGCTCATGACTGAGTTTCAGTCACAGTGTTCAGGCACCAGCCCTCCGGCAGAGCCCCCAGAGTCTCTCCTGCCCACCACCTGCCTCTATGGCAGACACTTTTCTTTTCTCTTTTTTCCTTGTAGACAGTGTGTTTTGCAGTATTGTTACTGCAAGAGTATCATGGATATCACTTTCCTTCCTTTCGGCCCAGCTCTTGTGAGGTGATCATCAATCCCGTCGCAGTCCCTTCTCTGACCTCCTTCCTTCCATGCTAGCACGCCTGCTACTGTGGCCAGGTCTCCTGCCCTTTGTGTATGTTCTTTGGGTCTGAGTATCATGCTGAGTGAAATGAGTCAGAAGGAGAGGGACAGACGGAACGATGGCACTAGGAAGAAGCATAGTATGAGAATAATACCCAAAAACAATCTGAGTAATTTTACTAGAATTATTTAGTTGCTTAATTATCTTACACACACACTTGTTAAGGCATTTGAAGAAAAAAATTAAGCATAGTGATAACATTTGTAATCCTGTATTTAAGGAGTGTTTTCCTAAAATGGCAAAAATATTGCATTTTCTTACCTTTTCAGCTGAGCTTGGAGATTACGACCCGTATAAGCACACTGCAGGATATGTGTCTGAGTATCGGTTTGTTCCTGATCAGAAGGAAGAACTTGAAGAAGCCATTGAGAGGATTCATAAAACTCTGATGTAAGGTCACATCTCTTTTTTTAATGGGTTATGTTCTCTTACTTCATATAAATTTACTCATCTTCTCTATACCAATTTTAGTTACATAGATCCATAAAAGCCAAAACATAAATTTATTCACTTACTTTCATTAGGAAGGTTTTAATATATGAAAAATTGAAAGGATAATATGGGAATAACAAATCTAGGTTGTCCTGTTAACATTTGTATATGCTCATCCCTCTATTCATCCATGAAACAATATTATTTTACTTTTTATTTTTGAAACAGTTTTATTTTATAATGCATTTTAGATGAAAAAGCAGATAAAAATATTGCATATACTCATAAACAATGCTCAGCATGGCACTAGGAAATGTACTGTGTTTACTTGTTACTGTTTGTTTGAGTCACTTTATGAGATTTATGTCAGTTCCGTAGATGCTGTTTTCTGTGGTAAGCAGGATAATGTCTAATTTCACTTATATTTCCGACCGTATTCTAGCCAGGCAAATAATTAGTGAGAAGATTATTGTTACAGTTATTTTTATATAGATTTTGTAAAACTGAGAGGTACTAATGTATTTTTTCTTGCGTTTTAGCTGCATATTAAAAATAATAGATTCTACTAATAGATACTGAAGAATAACTTTATAATATAATGAAAATTGGCCCAAATTGTTCTTGGAGATTTAGAACATTATCACCCTAGAAAGTTTAGGAATCAGTATCCTTCTATTAAACATGCTAAATGTCATATACCCATAGTTAATTTATAATCTTCATAACTGAAATTTACTGTAGCCAGCATCATGTTTTTCTTTCCATTTCCCCTTTGTAATCACTGTTATGTATTCTCTGTTTCAATTAGTTTGGCTCTCTTAGATTTCTACATATTGGTGGTAGGTAGAATTTGTCTTTATCTCTCTTTACCTGTCTTAGCATATTGCCCTCAAGATCCATCCATACTCTAGAAAGTTACCAAGAGAATAAATCTTAAATGTTCACTCTCAAAAAAAGAAATGATGATATGACAAGATGAAGAATTTAGGTAACTCTCTGATGGTTTGTATATCGGAATCAGAGAGAAAAATGAATGATGTCTGATGCTGCATCTTGTCCCAACCAACATTTTATGCTCTTGGCAGTTATAAGAAAACTTTCTCAAGTTATAAGTAATCAAGCTTCTCTGGAACATTCTTGAATTGTTTTCTATGTGTAGAATTTTATTATTTAGAATATGAAAACACTTAAATTATAGTAGGAAACTTCATTTAAAAATATAAAGTAAAGAGTACTTCTGTCCCTATGTCATCAATCTCTATTTCACTCTCCTCTCTCTCTCTCTCGCTCTCTTTTTCTTTCTCTCTCTCTCTCTCTCTCTCTCTCTCTCTGTTTTTGGGCCACACCAAATTGTGCTCCAGGCTTACTCCTGGATTTTCACTCAAGTTTCATACCTAGTGGCCTTGGGGGATCATCTAGGGTGTCAGGGATGGAATTGGGTCAGCCATATTTAAGACAGACACCTCACAAGCTGTCCTATCTCTCTAATCTTAGAGTAATCTCAGTATCTAAAGCCACCATGTTGTTGTTGTTGTTATTAATCAACTTTCAAACCTCTATGCATAATTTCCCTCTGAGAACATTTATTTTACTTATATTTATGTGTTTATACAAGTAGAATCATTCTGTATATGCTCTATTTTGAGACTTCTATGTTTTCAGTCACCAATACCCTGTGAAATTAGTTTTTTTTAAATTATATGTGTTTATATACACATTGCAAAAGGCTTATTGTAGTCTGAATTTCCTCTCTTAGGTATGTCAATACTTTATAGTTATAAGCAAAGTCCTATTTATTCAATAGCAACCATCTGAAAATCCTGACGTCACAGGTGTGAGCCTCAGAGGGTCTTATGTTAGTACCAAGTACACTTGTGACGATACACATAGTCCCCTAGTAGGATTTTCAACTAATGGCTCACAGCATTGAAGTTATTATTTAACTTAGTTATTTTGGTTAAATTCTCTATATGGATTAATGTTGCTTCATTGCCTCTTATGTAACATCCCTTTTGAATTTGCTTGCTTGCGGATCTATCACAGTTCAGAAAAAATGTAAAACTAATCTAGTCAACAGAAAATGTTTGTGTAAAGGATCTTTTTCACAACAGAAGTAGCAACAGAAGTCATTTGCTGAATTGGGATGGGGGAGAGCAGGCTCTCCATCCTGTGTCACATGCATCAGAATGCTCTCTAGCCTGTTTAAAGAGCCCCTCGTTCCAAGACTTCACTGAAGTAGTGCTCAGGAAGAACCCATTACAGTATTATGATGTGCAGTGTTTGACACAGTCTGAGAATACTGAACTCTACTAGTATTGAAGTACAATTATATTTTGAAATTGTTAAGGAGCTTTGGGTAAGGGCATTATGTACGCTTTAGTTGATGGTATTGAAGGTATGTTCGTTATTTCTAAGTAAATCAAGGCTGATCAAGATTTGATAGTTTTCCTGTGTCTAATTTATGATGATATATTTCTTGTAGATTTCAAGAGTATGCTTATGAAGGGGCTGAAATATGAGAATGTGTCAAAATAAGATTTCTTAATTTTTTTTTAAAAAGTCATGACTTTTTCTGTTCACTGTTAATGTATTTTTCTCTCCATCCTCTCTCTTTTTCTCTCCCCCCCCCCCCCACATACACATGCGCACACACACATACACACACAGAGCCATCCATAGAGATTTGCTGGCAGTGCTCACTTTGATAAGAATGAGTGCTGTTCTCTGTTAACCAGTAACCGACGAAGATTTGGGAAGGTTTTTATGCATTGTATTAAGAAAATTAAAGGTTTCAAAGATTTATGCTTTAGGTAGCACTGCACTGTAGTACTGTCCTCTCATTGTTCATCAATTTGCTTGAGCAGGCACCAGTAACATCTCCATTGTGAGGCTTGTTGTTACTGCTTTTGGCACATCGAATACGCCACGGGGAGCTTGCCAGGCTCTGCCATGCGGGTGGGATAGTCTTGGTAGCTTGCCGGAATCCAACCTGGGTCGGCTGTGTGCAAGGCAAATGCCCCACCCGCTGTGCTATCGCTCCAGCCCACCCCAAAATAAGAGGACCAAATGTCAGTTATCAGAAGGCTGGTATATTCTATAAACCACAGAATTAATTCTGAAAGTATCAAGTTCTTCATGAATTACCAAACAAAAGAACTCACAAAATTTCTCCTCTGAATAATAAAGTAAAATCCTAAAAGACTGGCTGATGCCAGAGAGCACATGAGCTGAGGCACATGCTTTGCATGCAGGATGCCAGCATTTGATCCCCAGCAACAAATGGTCCCTCCATATAGTTAGAAGTGAGTAGCCCCTGAGCACTACCAGCTGTGACCCAAAAACTGTAGCACTGTAGCACTGTCCTCACGTTGTTCATCGATTTGCTCAAGTGGGCCCAGTAACGTCTCCATTGTGAGACTTGTTACTGTTTTTTGGCATATCAAATACATCACGAGGAGCTTGCCAGGCTTTGCTGTGCGGGTAAAATACTCTCAGTAGCTTGCCGGGCTCTCCGAGAGGGGCGGAGGAATTAAACCCTGGGTCAGCCACGTCCAAGGCAAACGCCCTACCTGCTGTGCTATCACTCCAGTCCACCCAAAAACTATAAACTATAATTTAAAAACTATCAAAGTAGAGACTCAGTGTAACCATTTTACCTACAATTAAGTTTCTAAAATTTTAGCTGCTAGAAACACTTAAAACTTTTGTGTGAGTCGATTCAAAACATTAGGATTTTTATACTATTTATTTTAACCTTCCAAAACTCCCAAAAGATTAATGTGATCAAAAAGTTTTCCCAATGAGAAAAAGGGAAAAGTGCCTGCCATAAATGTAGTATGGGAGGCAGGACAAGAAACAAGGGACACAGGTGGAGGGAAGGAGACAACTGGTGAACATTGCTTTTGGATCATTGTACATCTGAAACTCAATAATGAATAAGGTACTAACTAATATATTTTCAGATTTTTTTGAAAAGGGTTCTTGGGTGATATTTCCTTTATTTAAAATTTTTTTTTTATTTAAATGAATCATCGTGAGATACACTTACAGACCTACAGACTTACATGTTTGGGTTTCAGTCAAACAATGTTCAAGTACCCATACCTCCACCAGTTCCTATTCCCTAACCCCAATGTTCCCAGTATCCCTCGCCCCATCCCCACCCCTTCCCACCTCCTGCCTCTGTGGCAGACACATTCCCTCTTACTCTCTCTGTCCTTTTGAGTGTTATGGTTTGCAATACAGGTAACAAGCAGCCATCATATTTGGTCCATAGTCTACTTTCAACACGCATCTACTATCCCAAGGGATCCCTTCAACCGTCATTTACTTAGTGCTCCTCTCTCCATCCCAGCTATCTTTTCCCCCAGTGCATGAGATAGGCTGTCAAGCCGTGGGGTAGTCCTGATCCTTATTTTAACTGTCCTTAGATGTTAGTCTCCTATTATGTTACTTTATATTCCACAAATGGTTGCAGTCATTTTATGTCTGTCTCTCTGACTCATTTCACTTAGCATGATACTCTCCATGTTGATCCACTTATGTACAAATTTCATTTCATCTTTTCTAACAGCTGCATAGTATTCCATTGTGTAGATATACCTAAGTTTCTTCAACCAGTCGTCTGTTCTCAGACACTTAGTTTTTTTCCAGATTCTGGCTATTGTAAAAACAGTGCTGCAATAAACATACAAGTGCATATGTCATTTCTACTGTACTTTTTTGCATCTCCGGGATATATTCTCAGGAGTCTTATTGCTGGGTCAAATGGGAACTTGATTTCTAGGTATTTGCAGATTTTTACTACATGTGCCAGGAGAGGTTGATAAGGTCCTGGCAGGTATTTGGGGTTATTTGTTTCTTCCTGTGCTTATTTCTCATTTGTCACCGTCCTGGTGCAGACATTTTCCTTTGAGACATTTACTCTTTGTAAATGGTATATTTCTTAATTTAAGGGCTTATATTTCTCAATGGCCTCTATGGGATTTTCTGAAACTGAGAATTATTAACATATGCTAGGACATTGGGAGTATCTATTAATGAGCAAAAACAGATTTGGCAAATGAAAGTCACTTACTATAAGTAAATACCTCAGAGTACACAGTTTTATCACTAAGAAGATAGGGTCTTCTTGAAATACAAAGACTTACATTTGCATTAGCACAAAGGATTATTTATTTTCACAGTGGGAGAATGAGCACCGTCTCAGATCCTGAAAGTGCAATAGCTCTCAATGAAGTAAGACTCTTTGTTTGTGTTCTGGGCATAGGGGTCAGACTCCCTCTGAGGCAGAGCTGAATTACTTGAGGGCTGCCAGATCCCTGGAGATGTATGGTGTTGACCTCCATCCTGTCTATGTGAGTAACATTTAATTAACACCAAATAGCTTAGCCATGACATTTCTCTTAAAAAGTCACTAACTCCCCAAGGGAAGCTGCAGTCCTATTGTATAGCAAGCAGAGGATACTTTTTCTTCTTTGTTTTTCAGAGACAGAGAATCTCTTGTGTGGATTAAATACTAATGAAAATTTGCATAAAAAAAACTGTGATTGTATTTCCATGTGTAGTAAACAATTTACTGGGCTTGAAAACACAATTTGGATAACAGCTCTACAGAGCTTAGCTGAATGTCAAAACAATTTTGAGTTGCTCTATAATTGATTATATTAGAAAACAGATTTTCTAAGAATAGATATTTTTTATGATGGAAAATAAGACAAAAATACTTGCCAGGTAATGTAGCTGTGTAGGTGACATGACTGTTATACAGCTATGTTGGATAAGGTTATGCAACATTTGGGTTATTGTCCGTTGTAGTGATTGACACTTTATGAGTAGAAATGTTTTTTGCAGGGTTTCCTTAATAATTATTGAAAACATAGTGAATGAGTCAGTAAGCATTTGTGCTGAGACTGTTGTGTTCTATGTCTGAGACTCTTCACTAAGATCAGGTTGATTAATCTATGCCAGTGATTTTCAAACTATCACTTGATTTTATAAATTAGATTAGGAGTAGGAAATTTGATTATTTAAGGAAATGAACCATGTACCTTATTCTTTGGAAAAGTGGATTGCTGAAGATTGTATATAGACTAAATTTTTTGTCAGTTGGATTATGGAACTCAATTTTTATGGATTCCTAAATAGGGTTTATCAAACCAGTTTTATCTAGCTCTCCTTAATGCAAATGGTTTATTGATATTTTAATTTCATAACACAGTGTTGTTCATCAGTGTTTCCTACAGCAAAAGAAAGCATCTTATGTTAGTTTTATAGAGTTGGAAGCATTCCTGAGTATGAGTTAATGGGGCAATAAAAGTTACATGTTTGAGGGAAGTAGTAATTCTTTGTTATCTTTTATTTTAGTCTCATTAGTCATTCATTCATTGATGCTTGATATTATTGTCTTTTAAGAACATCTATAAGATTTTTCATAGTACCTATTTTTATACTATTAGTTACATTTGTTTTCTTGGATTGTTTTAAAATATATACTATATAGACATATGAAAAATGAGAATCTTTTGCAAAATGCTTCTGTATTTTTTATAATGTTTACTTACCATAATCCACACTGTTTTGAGTGATAGTAATTTGTGGTAAGTGAACTGGATTCATTAGAATTTCCTGTGCATTCCTGTAAGATTAAATTTTTCGGACTAGAGAGTTAGCTCAAATGGCCAAATGCATGCTTTGAGTGCAAGACGCCTGAGTTCAATATTGACATTCCATGGTTCCTTGAGCACAACCAGGAATGAGCTCAGAGCTAGGGGAGACCCTGAGCATCATGTGACATGGCACTTGCACTCATGCACGCACACTCTCACATACACACACACACACACACACACACACACACACTAAAATAAGAAAAAAATTTTAGAACTAAAAGGGGGAAGCAGCTGGCATACTTCTAAAGCTTATTTGCCTCATAGTTCCTCAGCAAAGGACTTTACAGGCTATTGTGGCCTTAGGGTCAAAGTAAAATTAATACAGTTTTGTGCATGTCCTTGAAACCCACTCTGTGATTTTCTTTTCAGAACCTCCTTCTTTTAATTTTTAGTTGCCTGGAAATTAAGGGCCTCAAGCCTTAGTCCCAAGATAACATAGTCTCCATTTTTGAGATTGTAATGTTGCATATGGCAGAGGAATGAAAAGGTAGAGAGCTCAAAGCACATAACTGTGGGCCTGTGGGCAGCTTCCCAGACAGTCTGGATAGTGTGCTGTTGGACCAGGCACCATGCCTGTCTGTAGCAGAGAGTAAGATCAAGAGGAGCCTTGGCAGGACTCTGCTCTGTCCTGACTGTGCAGGACACAGCATGTCTTATGTCCATCGAGTCCGGTACGGGCACTCTCCTCAGAGGCCTGGCTTCTTTGGAAGCCGGGTCCATCACTGTGAGTTAGATGGGTGGTTCCAGCTATGGTGCAGCTGTGGCAGCATCTCTGCAGGAGCAACACCCGTGAGTCATCTATGAGTCACCGGTGGCCTTTTATGAACTGAAGTTACAAGTATGAATGCATAAGGACAGTTTCTTAAACTTTCCAAAAAATTAGCACCAAGGGCCAGTGAGGCGGCTCAATGGTAGAGCACATGCATTACTTGTGTAAAGGGTGTGGTCTCTGGCAGCACGAAAAGCAGCACAAGCCCCAGCTGTTCTCATCACAGATTAGGAAGCCCTCTCTGCTGGACAATTTTCTGAGTGACAAAGCTCTTACACGGATACAGTCATAGTTACAGACATATTTTTCTTTTTACAGGGAGAAAACAAATCTGAGTATTTCTTAGGATTAACTCCAGTTGGAGTTGTTGTATACAAGAATAAAAAGCAAGTGGGGAAGTATTTCTGGTAAGTATGATTTGAGGGCAGAGTTATTACTAAAGTTGTATGTCAGGTTTATGGAACTTTTAAAGCAGTGAAGGGGTTGGAGATAAAAAGAGACATATATTGCAGTAGTCAAAAAATAAGGAAGTGAAGTTGGGTCTAAGTATTCTTCCAAGTTCACTTATTTTTTTCATTTCCATCTGTATTTTCTATGTAGGCTGCAGACTCAGTCATTCTAGACTGTCCTGGAAGCTGTGTATAGCAGGGTCCTGTCTGTTCGGGATTAGCTGGTGGCCTTGGGCCCTGCCAGTCAAGCTCGGGCTCAACCTGAGTTCTGAATCTATTCAGGGGAAAATCTGCTGAGGCTTGGGAAGTTCATGCTTGTGTGTGTTATGGAGCACCATAGGAGAATGAGAATAGACTTTGCTCTGGAAGGTGTCCAGATCTAGGAGCATGCAGGAAATTCTCACAATCCCTGCAGTAGCATGCCAGGGGACCAATGTTTTCCCACTGGGCATAGCTCTGAATTTCTGTTGCATTCATTCTTAAAAACTACCACCATCTTCTTTGCTTTTCAGGCCTCGGATTACAAAGATTCACTTCAAGGAAACACAGTATGAGCTCAGAGTACTGGGAAAAGATGTAAGTTTTTGTTTAGTGCTTAGATTAACTCAGAAGGAATGCTTTGTTGATGCATTGATGGCTTAGTAGACAGTGAGCAATGAAAGGGCCATTTCTTCAGCTGCAGTCTGAGAGGCCAGCACACACTGTCCTCCACCAGCGAAACAGTGAGGGAAGTGAGTGGAAATGAAAGTGGAAGGAATGGAGAAAGGTCATTGTAGTCTTGGCAAATGACAAAAAGACTTTCGAGGGAAAGTAATTATCATTATTTGTGCCGTTTGCTCCTTGGTGCTGTCTGATGTTGGAGCATGTGGTCAGAAGGAGCTTTCAGATACAAAATTGAACTGTTCCAGTTTTACTCCAAAGCAAATTAGGGAACTGCAGAGAATCACCTTCTGCTCCCTCTGTGTAGGGGGACTTGGTGGATAATATAGACGGGAAATTCCAGATGCTCTGTAGGAAGAACATAAGACGAGAAAATAAAAACAGACTGCGTCACTGGGTGCTGGTCATGACTGCTGCTGTGTCTTGGTAGACAACTTTCAGGAAATTTCAAATACAAGACAAGGATTGGAAGAATTCCCTTTATTTTGCCTAGAAAATAATAATGTTAACCCTATAACTTACTATATACAAGAATGCACCTTCTGAAACTAACTTTATGCAGAATGGAAAACTAAATGAAGGGCATTGAATTGACTTTCTAATGAGGTGCTTGCAAGAAAAATGTAATTATGCATTGTCAAGTCCAAGCCTAGCCGCACCACTGCAGCTACAGTGTGCGGTGTCTGAGGCTCAGATTCAGGTTCTCAGCACATTACCTGCCAAATAATTCATGCTAATATCTTGTGGCTGCCTTGTCTCAAATCTAATGTCACTGCTTTTCTTGTCACCTGAACTTGAACTTGAGATCAGGCAACTACTATTTATTGATAAGATTTATATAAAAAAAAAATATATATGAGAGAGAGAGTGAAAGAGCGCATAGAAGCAGACTGGTGGGTGGGCGGCAAATGTGACTGAAGTGGGGGTAAGGCATTGATGGAGAGAAGTGAAGGGGTTTAGATCGAAACTGGTGCCTGAACCCATTCATGAATGGTTTTGTAATTTCATAATGACTAAATAAAAACCATTTTAAAAATTAAAATTGAGCTCCATATGTGAGATTTAAAAAGAAACATGGTAGGGGACCACAAATTTTCAGTCATCAGAACTGATAAAGTAAAAAATTCTCAAAAATCATATATTTTGCATGTTTGTAAATTAATATTCTGAATAATTCTGTGATAACACATTTTCAGATTTCCATGAAATAGAAATGGAATGTCTACATTGTAAATATCCTACAATGTAAAATTAGTAAGAATGAATGAAAAGTGTCTTTAGTTTTCCTGTATTTTCACTGGGACCCATTGTTCATCTTGGATCTTTGTCCTCAACTCTGGGAAATTCTTATTTGTGATTTTTTTAATTATTATTTCTTCGTCAAATTTGTCCTTTTGTTTTTCAAGGACTCTGACTGTTTTTATTATTGTTCTTCTTAAGTTCATCCCCGAGCTCTCTGTGTGTGGTTCATTTCTCTTTAGACTGTTTCAATCTTTCTAGTTCCCGAGAGGTTTCCTCCTCCTCTTATTGCTCCTTGACTTCATCCCTGCTGCTGTTGCTCCACTGCTCAGAGCTTCTGTTGCATTTTAGGTCGCCTGCAGTTTTCTCATCTCTTGTAGTTTTTTCCTTTTGGCCATACTGCTGTGTGTTGCTGAGTCCCTGTGCCATGTCTTTGAGCTCAGTAATATCCCGCCAGGGTTTCACTGAGGGCTGCGGGACTCCAGAGCTGATGAGTGCTGGCTGAGCCTTCTGAGTCACCACTGTCCTCTCTCACTGAGTGTGACATGCATTTCCCTGTTGGGCTTGTGGTGTCCCTGCTGTGCTGAGGGTGAGTGCTTGTAGCTACCCCTCCTTGGGGCTCCCTGAGGAGTGAGTCTGGGAGCTGCTCTTTTCCTCCCCCCTACCCCCCTGCCTTGTGAGCGTTTATTTATCTTCACTGATTGACAGGACGTGTAGGTGTGAGCAGTGTGAGCTGTTGGAATAGTGGAGGTAGGGCGTGCAGGCTGCACTGGGGGCGTCCGGTGTCACAAAGGCCTCGAAAGTGTCATCCCAGAAACTGATCTACCTGAAAGGGTGTGTCAGAAATTCAGGAGCTGTGGAGTTGGTCGCCTTTGGATAGTTACTTTTATGTTGTTGTTGCAGTACTTTACAATGTCTTCTACTGCATGATAAATATTGGGTCAAATAACATCTAAACTAAATTTTCAACTGTGGGATTCATCTCCCTTAACAAAAACACTCCAAGGTTGGAATAGAACCCTAGGTAATTTAGATCTTAGAATGTAAAGGGTTTGCAATTGTATACCCAGAAAGAATAGAATATTCTGCAAAAATATGCCCAACAAGCATAGAATAAGACTGTTTTGGGGTTTTTAGATTAAGAACTACCTGGGCTGAAATAGAAAAAAAAGGTGTCAGGACATTCCTCTATATTTAAGGGTGACTTTTGATAGCCTGTGAGGCCACTGATGGCTGCCCAGGTAATCAAAACCTTGGACTGCCCTTGTATGTTTGTTTGTCTCATTCTTAGTGACTGACTTCCACGGTATGGGGATTGAAGGTGCCCATCCAGCTGGCATTAGACATTCTACTTCTTTTATTATTTGGCTTTTGGGCTGCTTCTGGCAGTGCTCAGGGCTTACTCCTGGCTCTCTGCTCAGGAATCACTCCTGGTGGACTCGGGGAACCATATGGGGGTGCTGGGGAAAGAACAGGAGTGAGCCACATGCAAACCTCTCAGCTGCCTTATCTCTTCGGCCCCTAGACATTCAACTTCGTGGATTACTTCATCATTAGGTAAAACAACAATATGAATTGGTAATGCTCCTTGTTTTGCAGCAGTCTCCAGTGTGTGATCTGGTTTCCTACACACATGCACCCTTTCCCTGAAGCTTGAAGAAGTCTGTTTAAAAGGGCCCAGGTGCTGCTTGCTCCTGGTGCCCAGGTGATTTGGTGGTAGAGCAGGTCACGGATGAAGGCCTTCATCAGAGGTCTGTCTGAAAACATGAGATGGCATGGTCATTTAGCCAAAGGACTTCATCTCTCGAGTGTTCTTTTGTTTTGAGTCTTTTTTTTCTTTTGATCCAGTTCCTCTCTTTAATATTTACTGTGCCAGTGAGAAAATATCTTAAAAATGCCAATAATATATTAACATATGGTTTTCTATTGAGGCATACTTAGCATCCACAGATAATCTTCTCCTTCTCATATGTAATCTCTATGAGTTTAGCAACGATTGTCCATAAGTGGATTCTAGCTTTATATAATTTTATACCCCTGATCCAAAAGCTAAATTTTTAAAAATATTTTTGTATGATATAAGCTTCAAAATTGGTACTATGATTTAAATAATAATTCATATAAAATAAAAAGTTTTAGTATAAGATATAACATATAGAAAATATATATGAAGAAGAAAACTAAAATACCTATCATTTGAAAATCATAGGTAATATTAATATTGGTATTAATATTATGTTTTTTCAGATTATGCTCTATTAGATTTACATATGTGTATGCATCATACCTATATGGTTTTATATACTGCTGTTTTTGTTTGGGGGCCATACCTTGCTCAGGGCTAACTCCTGGCACTGTGCTCAGGGATTACTCTTGTGGGCTTGGGGAGCATATAGTGTTGGGGATCGAATCTGCATTGACTGCATGCAAGGCAAGTGCCTTACCCACTGTACTATCTCTCTGGCCCCTGTATACAGCTTTTCCTCCCCAATATCAATGTACATCATAAGCATTTGCCATTCTTCGATTATTATGGCTGGAGCGATAGCACAGCGGGTAGGGCGTTCGCCTTACACGTGGCCAACATGGCCGACCCGAGTTCGATTCCTCCGCCCCTCTCGGAGAGCCCGGCAAGCTACCGAGAGTATTCAATATGCCAGACACAGTAACAACAAAGTCTCCAATGGAGACGTTACTGGCCCACTCGAGCAAATCGACGATCAACGGGAGGGCCTTTACCTTTACCTTTACCACTTGTTTACAACGTATTTACTGGGGGCTGGAGTGATACAACCCAGGTTCAATTCCCAGCATCCCATGTGGTCCACCAAGCACCGCCAGGAGTAATTTCTGAGTGCAGAGCCAGGAGTAACCCCTGTGCATCACTGGGTGTGACCCAAAAAGAAAAAAAAAGTATTTACTGTTCCCTTTCTTACATGTTTTACTGCTGTGGGGTTTTTTTCCTGCTATATAATTTTCTAACTGGTTTTGCTGATAAAAGGAAAGCATTAGAATTTATATGCTCATCGCAACCATGCCCTTTTGTGCTGAATTATTTTTTTATTTGTGTGTTTCATTTTGTTTTGGGACCACATCCAGCTTTGCTCAGGGATCACTGTTGGTGGTTTGGGGGAACCATCTCTGGTTCTGGGGGTGGAGCCCAGTTGTACTCAGGAATCATGTTGGTGGGTTTGGGAACCATCTCTGGTTATGGGGGTGGGCCCAGCTGTGCTCAGTGATCACTATTGATGGGTTTAGGGACCATCTCCTAATGTTAAACCAGCCTTGCATCCCCGGGATGAATCCTACTTGGTCATGGTGTTACCAAGTATGGCAGAGATTAGTACCAGGAATTTTACTGAATGACCCGGAGGACAACCACACATGTTAGGGGAAGGGGGAGCTCAGAAAGAGAAGGGAACACCAAATAAAGGGTGTTGGGAGGATCCGCCCACGATGGGAGAGCATGCTGAGGGTAGACTGTCGACCAAGCATGATTGCCACTCAATGCCTCTTTTGCAGACCATGGCACTCAAAAGGAGAGAGAGGGAAATGCCCTGCCACAGAGACAGGGTGGGATGGGGTCTGGGGGTGGGGGGAGGGGATGCTGGGATCCGTGGTGGTGGGAAATGCGCACTGGTGGATGGATGGGTGTTTGATCATTGTATAATCGAAAC